CGAAACTCAAACCAGCCAAAATTTGTAGCCGTAGTGGCTCATTGCGTACATGGCCCTTGGGTTCAACCAGTGGGCTCCACGAACGCAGAAAACTATAAAAACTGTCTCTTATACACATCTAGATGTGTATAAGAGACATCTCTCTCTCTCTCTCTCGTACTACAGCTATGGCCATGGCACCGAGCACCATTGACTACACTGCCCTATGGCCACACTCACTTCCTCCGTCGTCACTCCTACGCACAAGACTGCAGCAGTGCTTCCGCATTGAGTGCGAAGCATAAGCTGCTGACGTCCAAGTGCTGCTCAACTTTTGTATTTGCTGATCCGCCTTCCAGGCTTCTTTTGTTGACTGCGGGCTGGCTCCCTTGCCTTTGTTTGTTGCGTCTGGGAGTTTACGGATTTTCCTTGGATCTGGCTGCTTGACTGGACTGACTGACACTTTGCCTAATGACTTCTGCTATCTTGGCTGAAGCTTGTTGTGTCTACCTGAAAGTAGACTTTTCAAACCCATAACTATTGTCTACCAGGGACTTCCTACCACGGCCTACTTAAACTAACCTACCTACCAGGGATTTGGGATTGGGACTTGGGGCTGGGACTCATGACTGGAACTTGGAACTGAACCGGGGTACCGAGATGCGTGAATCCTTTCAGCCCGGTCATTTTAGCTGCATTTGGGGCAACTTTCAGTCCAGACGCAGCGATAATGACCGCGCGTTCTATTCGTGCGAAGACGGTAGCCCATGTGGGTGAATGGTAGACGCGTGGAACTGTTCAAAACTGGTCATGAGTTTGAACGTTGGATCCTGATGGACTCATATGGACACGATAAGGTCAGAGGCTACGCCCTTAAGAAAAAAAAGGGGGGTCGGCCCCTAACATCATTGTGTATCCTCAGAATCTAAACCTATGATATGTTTATTCAGGTACACTATTCCGTACGTGCGTGGTGAACCCAACTTCAGAATCTCACAGTCAAATCACACATGAACACATGAAACTCAAATCAACGATGACAAATGTAGAGAGAGAGAGAGAGAGAGAGAGAGAGAGAGA